CTCAGCCAACAAAGTACAGTGGAGCAGCCCGGCTCAGCGCTCCTTGCAAAATGATTGGTCAAAGTTTTTCCGACTGCCTGATAAAGCGTCAGCTCCGACATAAATCAATCCGGCGAGGGGGCTGCGCTCTCTCTGTCATCCGCCCGCACCGCATTCCATATCGAGGATGGATTGTTTTATGCTGATGCAATGTGCTATCACGTCAGGGCTCGGGCGACCACGTAACCTCAGCCGGAGCAGCCGGCCGCCCGGTGCCCCCCGCCTTTTTCAGGAAGGGGGGTGGAGTTCTCGACGTGGGGCGGCGGGGGCGGAGGAGAGGCGGAGGGAGAGCAGCGGGCTGCCTCCGGAGGGACGCGGGCGGCGGAGCCCTCTCCCCGGGCGGGTCGGGGAGGGAGAGGGAGCGCAGGGCCGAGGGAGGGAGAGCCCCGTCTTGGGAGCAGCTAGAGGGGCCCACAGCAAATAATTAAAGAGGAAGTGGTCCTGCCCCCCCCACACACACACACCTCCACTCTACCCCTCAGGCCCTCGCTTCCTCTTTTCTGTCCTCTTGACACAAGATGTTTATTCAACAACTGCGCAGCAGCAATTCACCGGAGAGAGGGTGAGAAGTTGGGGATTTTTTAGACGTTTTCCTCTTTGGAGGGGACTCTCTGTGACTGTTTCAGGAGGATGATGGGTCTGGGAGCTTCTCCTGACCCCTCAGTAGCTGAGAGAGGAAAGAGGGGAGTATAAGGGGGTGAGTGTCCAAAAACCCTGTGCTAAAATTTAGCTGTCCCCAAATTAGAACCTGTCTGAGGTTAAAGGGATTCGTCAGGCCCTGGAAAGTTGAGCCTCGGAAAGAGTTTAATACAACTAACCAAAGCTCTTTTAAATTTCTTGGGCCTCTCTCTGGCCCTGGCCAGAGGGAAGTGTGGGGGTGGGTGGCAGGGCACAGCCATTTCTCCCTCCGCTGAATAACAGGACAGGCCGTTAGAATTGTCCAGACGGGGGAGCTGAACGTGACAAAGGACTCAGGGAACTTCCCTGAGCTGTCAGCAGAGCAGAGGTGTGGGAAGGGGTCCAGAGTTATCTCCCCTTCCTTCCCACCCAGTGAAGATGGAGCCTTTCAAGGCTCTCCTGTCCCGTTCCTCTCACCCGTCACTGTTGCCCTGAAAGATTTCCAAATAGTTGTGTTGGGCACCAGCATGGACAGAGCCTGTGGGGTCCGTCTCCCAGCCACCCACCACCTCCCCTCCTGAGGCTCTCTCGCTGGAGTTGGTATCAATTCTGTGGGCCCTGAGCTGGGATTCCCTCGAGGCCACCAAGGCCACCGGCCGGCTTCCTGGCTCATCCCCCAGCCCTTGCTCTTCCAGCCTCTGCCCTGGTGTGGGCACTCGGGGAGGGCAGTCCCTGGACTGACCTGGTTCTCCTCGGGTTGGGTTTAGGGGCAGGCTGGGGCTGATTTTCTTCACATTCTCCGACTCTGGGCCCTTATAAAATAGGCTGCCCCCGGCCCCATTATTTTAACAAAAGCGGGGCCATTCTAATCTGAGGCTTTATCTTTTTGGCCATGTACCCCTCTGCCATGCAGAAGGCTGCAGATCACCTCCGCACACGCACACCCTCCCGCCAGCTTTTCTTTCCAAATGAAGCCATCTCGTGTCATTACATGTGAAATACGAGGGCAAAGCGCCATATTTCTTCACATTATGGCGATTTCAGAATGATTTTTTAAAGATCAATGCAGGCACCCAGCCGCCCCCCTCCTTTCCCACCCCAGCTCTCCAAGGGCGACAGCCAGGCAGATCCGAAACCGAGCAGCGGGAAGATCTGCTTTTTCCATGGGACCCAAGTGCGGAGACAAAAAAACCGATGCAAATTCTTCTAAGTAGCAGTTGGCCGCTTAGGAAAGTCGAGAGAGCCACCCAGACTCGCCAGTGAGAAGCTGGGCACAGAGTGAATGAATCACAGTTAAGGCAAAGCACCTGTTCTGGATTCGCCAGACGTATGGAGTCTGCTGTTGGCTTTACCTGTAATAAATATATTCTTCAGGAAAAAAATAATCTCCTGCCATAAATAATGGTGTTATGAAGCATGGTGGGCTGAGTATATGGCTTTGGGTAGTATATAAATTAGGGTCCAAAAGGATGTGCGGACTGTGGGCAGGGAATTTTTTTTATTTATGGAAAAGTCACAGCGCTAGGTTGTTCCTAAGACTCAGGCTGTGCAGGCACTGAACTCGGACCGCAGCCCTTCTGGTTGCCATTCCCCATCCTGGATTTGTCACTACCTTTCTTTGCAACAAGAGAGAAGTCAAGAGGGCCACTTAGTTTGGGGAAGGGGTTAGAGGAAGAAGAGCACTTGGGCTCACTGCGTGTGCCCTGCAAGGGGGTAGTGTCCCAGCAGGCAGAGTCTAAATTGCTCTCTGTCTGGGGGAGTTGCCCCTAACCCTGGGTGGCTCCTGGGTGCTAAATAAGGAGGGGACCCAGACCTCTTTTCTGACACCAGAACTTAGCCTTAGCTCACAAAGAAGCTGGAGAATGGGAACAATTTCAAAATGACAGGCTTTGAGGGTCAGTCTTCTCAGAGAGGTGACTCTGAGGGGAAAAGAATGAACTAGCACCAAGCCCTGGAGTCTTGCACCTCAGCTCATCTCCCTTCAGGTGGGGACTCGGGTGCACCAAACCATGAGCCCCACCCAGATAGGCTTTCTAGAAAACACTGTTTCTCCAAATTGGAGCTCAACTCCAGTTCAGACAAATGATTAGAAGGTTGGCTGAGAGGTAGCCCCTTGTTTGGGTGTTCTGAAGACCTGCCCCCCCCGCAAAAAAAACCCTTGTTTTCTCTCCCAGACAATGGTACCTACCATGGCTGAGGGAGGCAAACAGTGTTTCAGCCCTTGGAGCCCAGTTTCTAAGATGCTTAACAGAGGGGTTCCTTGGGCGAGGGTCACCTTGTCCTGAGAGAGCAAAGTACTCCCCACCCCACCATCCCTAATCCTAAAGAGAAAGAAGGAAAACTCTGCCTTCCCTCGAAGCCTCTTGCCATTCCCTACACAGGAGCCACGCCTGAACACAGCTGGGGCCAGCATCTGGTAGCTCCGGGAAGAGCAGGCAGGATAAAGCTGCAGCCCCCGTCACAGTGGGGCCCAGAGCACCGAGCAGTAAGGCCGAGGTGGGGAGCGCAGAGGCCAACCCTGGCCAGGACCAGCCGGTGAGTGCCTAGCTTGAGGGGTGGCTTTTAGAAGGGTTCTTGTTAGTAAGAAGAGAGAAAATTTAGACAGAAGGGAAAATAAATAATAAATGGGAAAAGGGGGAAAGGTTGTTTTTAATCGATAACCTAAGCTGAAATTTGTGCATGCTGTGTTTGAATAGATGTGTATATCCTGTACGTGTATTTCAGGACAATATTGAACCCAGTGTGCAAATGTGCTGTGCTCTATGCTGTGTATAGAATATGTAATAAGTAAATCTGCCCGACCATAATATTGGATTGCTTAAGCGTTGGTATATGATCTAGTGGTGTATATGTGGATCTGTGAATAACGCCTGTGAGTGATAGAGGTTTATAATTCTACTCATATAAGAAGATCTATGATCCAAAAGCTTTTGTAGTACATTTTTATAACCATCACACACCCTTATGAAAAGGGCAAAACCTTGAGTATTTGTGTACTTGAATTGTGGCAATAAAACATTAGCTGATTCGGAAGCTTCAGTGGAAAATCTGCCTGTTGACTTGATATTCAAGCCAAATATATGCCGTATTCTCAAACAAATGCATGTAACTTAAATCTGGATTCTTTTACAACTTCCTTCTAAAATATAGTGTGTCCCTCCCAAAAACATATACACACGCTTTGAATAATTATAAAGGCAGTGTTTATTAAAGTACATTTCATTTTCAAAATTGAGCTGTCAGCTGTTAAAGTGTGTATACATTTTTGAAGGGACACCCTGTATGTCTCTGGAAGGTGAAGGAAATTCCTCAAATTGGTTCAGGGGAGGTCATGAAATTTTGTGACTTTTTTGTCCGACCATGAAATCCTTTACTGCGTATCTTACCCAAAGCTGCAGGGGCGGTCTGCATGGTGTGATCCTTATTTCATGGTAGTGATGGGCACCAGATGAAGGGACTATTAGTTGTGCATGAGTGTGTTCCACACAAGTGTGAATCTGACCAGTAGACAGAGCTGAGTTTAATGTGAAAACCCTCAGGTAACTGTGG